TCAAGGCCTGAGCAACTGGAACAGGCAAGCCCAGCGCAAAGAGGCCAAAGAGAATAAAACCAAATCCACCTTCGCAGCTTCTTTGGGGTCGACTCCGGCGCGCTCTGGGGCTCTGGGCGGCTCCGTGTTCCAACCTGACGCTGCCCCAGCTCCCCAGCGGCTGACAAATTTTCAAGATGGCGGGGTCGAACACTTCCTCCTCTGCAGAAGTCATGATTATTGCTTTGGGTGTGGCTCAAAAGTAAGCAGGAGGGGCAAACCGCAGGTTTTGGTCCATGTTTCCACTTACCAGGGTTCCATTTTGGCACCGGCTTTTTGAGCCACAGCCATTTTTCACAAAGGGCCAACATGCTGTAGTCCTAGAGGGGTCAGGTTGGTTTGAGAGATAAACTAGGGTTGCAGTTGGGGAGGTCGTGGGATGGTTTTAGGGCAGATCGAGGCTAGGGATTTGCTTGAGAAAGTTTGGGATTGATGCGTGGTCTCATGGCCGCAAAAGGCCAAAAGCTGAGCCAAACGGACAAGACACGTCTAGCAAAGATTTCGCTAGGGAATTGATTGGACATTGGGAGGGCTTGCATCTCATTTTCAAGCGAGCGAACGTCCTCACAAAGGGATTCTTATGCCATAGCCCGGTCTGCTTGCGGTCTAAGCGTCTCTTGAGCAGTCGCCTTCAGGGTCGCCACTTCCGTGTTCAGCTGGCTTTCGGTCTTCCTCCTCTGAGAGCACGGATCCGATTTGCCACGAATTCCGATGAAGCAATCTCAAACTCGAAAGTCAAGCCAAGCCACCCCTTGGCTTCGAAGTCCGCTAGCACCGCGTCCGCCTGCTGCAAGCCTCGCGCCACCGCGTCCTCGCCTCAGCTCGTAGGCAGTCAGACAGAATCGCTGACTGAATCGCTGACTTTGGGGGTTAAAGGGCAACCTTGCTGCGATAGGTAGGGAATGAGAATTGAAATGAGCCTAGGCGTTGGTCCCCTCAAGGGAAACCACCAGCTGGATGGCTCACAAGGGACATTCCATTTCTCATTCCCTGCCTATCGCGCAGGCAACTAACGGCTTGCATGGAGCTTGGGTTTCCAACTTCAGTGGGTTTGGGGCTGGATACTTTTTGGTTCTTATTGTTGCGACGGGGCAAATCCCCTGGACACGAGACCTCAGTATTTAACCTATGCGGATTTTTTCAGCGCGGAACCCCAAAATTGACGCATAGTAGTTCCCCAACAGCTGAAAGCTAAGGGGTCATGCTGTTGGGGATGTCACCTGAGCTTATTCAAATTGCAGTGGTGTACTCTGGCTTTGTGGCCGTGAATGCCAAACATGCAGGCTAGCGCTTGCTAATCAAATGATACAGTGGGCAAACATGTTGTGCATGCCGACCGAATAGCCACGCGGACCATGCAAGGTTCAGGACAACTAATTTGATGCCGCATTGATTCTTCCGCCCAGCCCCCGTCTAGCGGCTCTGCACGTTCGACGCGTTTGGCAGGCTGGACACTGCCCTGGCGGCAAGCGAGCCGTGTAGCATGCTCGCGTGCTTGATCCCTTGGATCACAAAAACATGTCCTACAGCAACACGTCCATGCCCTCAACAGCAGGACAACACCAATTCTTGCTCCCTGAAAGGCTTTCCAAGAACTTGCCCGGCCTTTTTCTATGATGGGGGAATGAAACGGTATTGACCTGCATGTGAAGTGTTCTAGTCACGCCTTCCCCAGCCGACTTGTGCTTTACCTGCGCTTGCAGTGCGCAAAATGAAGGAGGGCGAGATGATCAGAAGCAGAAAATGCTGAAATTCAAACCAATGCACACAAGCGCTCTCTTGGAATTTTCAGCATACGATCGGCCGACCTCTGCTGCCGCCTAACTTCCTGTGTATTCTGACGCGCCTGTCAGCGAAACGAGTCATTTTCTATGGGATAAGCGCGCAGGGCTGCACCGGAGTTCCTCCTGCTGCTGCGACTGAATGCACTCCTGGCAGCCGATGACGGGCCGATGACGGACTGCAAATCTGACTATGCCAGAAGTTTGACCAGCTGCGCAACCCAATGAAGGATACATCGACTGGGACCTGCTGTTTCTTGAGTTTTGCCAAGCGCGCAGAACGGTCAGAACAGTGCGCACAGCATCACTCCTCGCTGGCTGAACTCATTTTGGACATAAACGCGTTGAAGGCCTTCCGGATCAAGTTCTTCGCAGCTCTGCCCGCGCTCACAATCTGAGTCGAGCAGCCGTAAGCGGCACCAACAGTCGTCTCAAACAGAACCGCCCGCAAATTGGCGGCTTTCCTCTAGTCTCCCTTCAAAACCATCCCAAAACGGTACCACCCATATTTGCAAAGAGTGACACACATATGTTCTTCCGTGCTCTCCATCACCTGTTCTATGACTTGATCATCCTGATCATCTCCACGATCTTAAGAACATGGTTGGTTTATATGCATGAGGTACACCCTTGCATTGCTCATGGTCGTCAAGGATAGTCAAGTTGCCCGTATGTAACCACATTCTGGCCATTGCCAGCGGATGCGCCCACGCTGGAGGAAAGCAATCACGCTGAATCCTCGACGATCCCAGCTGAGTGCGGCTGAAAGCAAAAGCTTATGGCAGTCACCGAAGCCTTCTCGGAGCTGAGCCAGTGGACCAATCCACATAAGCTCCGACTTTTTGCGGCGGAGGCGCTGCTTGGGCTACCCGCTGGAACAAGTTGCGCTTCTTTTTGACGTTGGCCCAATCGACAGCCGCAGCTTTCCTCACAAGGCATTCAATCTGCCAGCCATGTGCCTTGTAACCAGTGCAGGTGGGAAAAGTAACCAATTATCTTAGACTCATCAGCTCTGTTGCCTGGCTCTACCCAAAATCTGCTTCTCCGTGCACACGCGCACACACACACACACAAGGGCTAGGGGAACCCATACTGTGACAACAAATCCAGACAAGATCCAAACCCAATCAGCAGCTTTTGTTCCAGCCAAAGCCTTGCGTATTCGTTGCCCACCATTCAAGCGGATTCCCGCGTGGAGGCGTACATATTGAGCAATGGTCGACGACAGCAGCTCCAGCAAAATATGCCAACTTGCAACTCCTTGCTTGCTATCAGGTTTCCTCGGCCGTTGCTGAAAGGGGCAGAGCTCGCACTATGGCTGCTCGGTCAAAGGGTGCCCAGGTGACTCCTTTTGAGCGCTGGACGTTCCTCTCAGGTAGCTGCGGGCTGTGATCTGTGGCTTGAGCCTGACACAACCTATTTGCAGCTTACCTGCTTGGCCGGAATGGGTTTCATCTGAGCTTCTGGACGTTGGTCACTGGTGGACAAACAAGCAATCTCCTTTGAGCAGCCCCATGTTCGGCCAGGTCATTTACACTACAAACTACACGACCTCCCAGCTGGGGGCCCAATGTCGAAAACATTTTCCAGCTGTCACGGCTGGATCCATGCGGAAGATTGAAGCCCGAAGCCAGACATGGCACAGGGCACTGAACTGGTCTTGCTTTCCTTGACCACTTTTTGCACTAGCTGTTCGACTCGCAACCGAGGCATACAATCCAATGGCTGTTAAGTTGGCAAAAATCAGAACACACTGCAACGCCTCCTGTATCCAAACCAGCAAAACATCCTGTCAAAACCCTGTCAGACATCCCGCAGCCCTAGCTCAAGGGCTCAGACAACGGCATGTGCTCCCTGCTCCTAGCCAAGGAGACAGGTCAGTTTGAACAATGGCAACCCAAGGTGTTCCAAGTCTAGGTAAGAAACACTGGGAGAACACGAGCAGAAGTGAAAGTGCCACAGTAGGCTGCGAGCACCCAGAGGACTTTGCAAAGAGAAGCCGGGTGCAAGTGCAGCCAGCGCAGGGCATCGTGGGGGCCTGGAGCGTGGCCAAGCGCATTTCTGGACACGCCCATTCCCACCAAGGCGAAGTTGGCTTGGCACTGCTCGAGGCGGAGTGGGGTCGGCAAAGAGACTCCTGGCCCCCTTCTGCAGGCCCTTTGGCTGGGCCAGTCCAGCTTGAAGACTGTGATGCTTTAAAGTGATGCTGAAATGGCATGGACAAATGGAGTGGCGCGTTTGACAGGGCGAGGATCAGTTTCAATACCGGGTGGCCTTTTCTCTTCTGCAAGTGCCTGTGGAGGATTAACTTGTTGGCGGGTTTCCTCCATTGGTGGCAAGTGCGGAGACGTGGTGCAAAGGACTGGTTGGACTGGACCAACCAAAAATCGTGCGCGCGGCCGGGGCAAACAGGCGCCCAAAACATTTGGCTAAGTGAAGGATGGATATATGGATATGTCGACGGCTTGGCCGCTTTGAGAAAGGTGCGAAATTGCCAGGTTCAAAGGCTACGAGGAACCGGAGAGATCGGCTTGGGCAAATCCGTTGGCTCCGAAAGTGAAGGAGTTCGGAGGATTTGACACGGGTATGTCACAGGCAAGCACTGAACAGCTCAGGGTTCTAGCTTTGGCCGGCCGCTTTCCTTGATGACTTGCACCAACTTTTCTTCAAGACCACTTTTTGGGGAAAAAAAACAAGACACCCACAAGATATTGTAAGAGGTGCCAAGGTCAATCCCTTGCTGCCCCGTTCACCAGGCTTGGGCGTACTGCTTCAAACATGTTTGAACCACTTTGGTTCCCTACGAGGGAGGAGGCATATATCTTTCTACAACTTTGGCCAATGCTTGTAACCAGCATCGCCTCTGGTATCTGACTCAATATCAAAACCCTTTCATGGCATCCTGCATCAGCTCGGAAGGCTCAGACGACGGCGTGTACCCCCGCCTTGCCAAGGGATAGCTCACTTTGGGCAAAGGCAGTAGCTTTTAGTCGAAAAGCAATGCAGCAAGGTCCAGGCCAGAATGTGCGTATCCGTTGGAGTAGCTTAAGGGGGTCCAAACAAATCCCACTGATGACCTACCCACAAATAGCCGCCATGCGCCCCGACAAATCCTCTGAAGCAAGCACCTGCCTCGCTCCCTTGCGGCTGGTCCACGTCAGTGCTCACAATATTCGAGGCCTGGCAGTTGTCCAAGCATGCAAGTGTCCCAGCCTAGCTTGGAAAAACACACACACACGGCAGTCACATCCCTGGGCGGCTTTGTTGACTTGAAGCAATGGCTGGCCAAAGCAATGTGTTTCACACGGGCCTTGCAACAAAGGGACAGCCATTGCCAGCCTCGCGACACAGGCTGTTCCTGCTGTCCGGCTATGTCTAGGGGGCCCAGGCAAAACAATCAAATTGCGCAAAAAACAATACAAGAGGAGCCCGGGAACCCAAAAGCAAACCAGCCTCACTCCCCATGGCATGTGGATCCCGTTGTTTTCCGGCTCAAGGGTCCGAAGGCAAACCAAGATTTAAGTTGTTCACAGTTGGGGAATCAACCCCAAAACAGATGAAGAAGGGGAGCAACCGCGACTCAAGCCGGATTGGCAGCCAGCAGCCTGTGCTCTGACCAAGCACAGAGAAAAAGGCAAAGGCACGGGTGAAACATGACAGGCCCCGCACTACATGGAAGGCACGAAGTCATCCGATTCATCATGAAAAACCAATCGCAGAAAGCCGAAAATGGATCCGCACAAACTACCACTCCCAAATTGGAAGCAAGGCATAAGCTCGCTCTACACCCATCTGAAACAAGTCTGAGACACAGTGTTACAACGCGATCTGAGTAGACCGGGGTCAGCTGTTCGGATGTTCATGCGCCCTTTTGTTTGGGCCGAGTGTGCTCAGCATATTCATGTCAACGTGCTTCCAGGCTGCTTCCAAATAAGTAGGGCGAACCCCAAGAGGCCACAGACTCTGAAGAGAGGGTTCGTCCTAGAAACACATTGGCACCATTTGTTCGGGTCAGGTGTGCGGCAAAAAGGACAATCTTGGCGCACCTGGAACGCCGGGCTGTTCACATGGAGCCGTGCACGTGGCCTTCACAAACTTGATTCGTAAGCTTGCTTGGATTCGTTAGTTTCTCCACCTATTTTCCCATTTGCAACCCGTTGTGAATTGGATGCGTGTGGATGGCAAGTTGGGTGGATTCACCGCAGGTGTGTGGAGACAGGGCCGGTGCTGCGCTTTTGCGGGGGGCTCGCTGTGGACAAGCCTCGGTCACTTGTTGGGTCTGACGCCTGTCTGAAACAAGTCTGAGACACAGTGGTACCACGATCTGCGTAGACCGGGGTCAGCTGTTCGGATGTTCATGCGCCCTTTTGTTTGGGCCGAGTGTGCTCAGCATATTCATGTCAACGTGCTTCCAGGCTGCTTCCAAATAAGTAGGGCGAACCCCAAGACGCCACAGACTCTGAAGCGGCAAAAAGGACAATTATGGCGTACCTGGAGCGCCGGGCTGTTCACATGGAGCCGCGCACGTGGCGGTTGCCGCATGTCATGAGCGTCCACCGCGCCAGTCTCGCTCGCGGGCGGTTTCCGCATGTCACGAGCGTCCACCGCGCTAGTGTTGCTCGCGTGCGGTTTCCGAATGTCACGAGCGTCCACCGCGCCAGTCTCGCTCGCGGGCGGTTTCCGCCTGTCACGAGCGTCCACCTCGCTCGCGGGCGGTTTCCGCATGTCACGAGCGTCCACCGCGCCAGTCTCGCTCGCGGGCGGTTTCCGCATGTCACGAGCGTCCACCGCGCCAGTCTCGCTCGCGGGCGGCTTCCGCATGTCACGAGCGTCCACCGCGCCAGTCTCGCTCGCGGGCGGTTTCCGCATGTCACGCGCCAGTCTCGCTCGCGGGCGGTTTCCGCATGTCACGAGCGTCCACCGCGCCAGTCTCGCTCGCAAGCGGTTTCCGCATGTCACGAGCGTCCACCGCGCCAGTCTCGCTCGCGGGCGGTTTCCGCATGTCACGAGCGTCCACCGCGCCAGTCTCGCTCGCGGGCGGTTTCCGCATGTCACGAGCGTCCACCGCGCCAGTCTCGCTCGCGGGCGGTTTCCGCATGTCACGAGCGTCCACCGCGCCAGTCTCGCTCACGGGCGGTTTCCGCCTGTCACGAGCGTCCACCGCGCCAGTCTCGCTCGCGGGCGATTTCCGCACGTCACGAGCGTCCACCGCTCGCGGGCGGTTTCCGCATGTCACGAGCGTCCCCCGCGCCAGTCTCGCTCGGGGGCGGTTTCCGCACGTCACGAGCGTCCACCGCGCCAGTCTCGCTCGCGGGCGGTTTCCGCATGTCACGAGCGTCCGCCGCGCCAGTCTCGCTGGCGGGCGGTTTCCGCATGTCACGAGCGTCCACCGCGCCAGTCTCTCTCGCGGGCGGTTTTCCGCACGTCACGAGCGTCCGCCGCCAGTCTCGCTCGTGGGCGGTTTCCGCATGTCACGAGCGTCCACCGCGCCAGTCTCGCTCACGGGCGGTTTCCGCATGTCGCGAGCGTCCACCGCGCCAGTCTCGCTCGCGGGCGGTTTCCGCATGTCACGAGCGTCCACCGTGCCAGTCTCGCCCACGGGCGGTTTCCGCATGTCACGAGCGTCCACCGCGCCAGTCTCGCTCGCGGGCGGTTTCCGCAGGTCACGAGCGTCCACCACGCCAATCTCGCTCGCGGGCGGTTTCCGCATGTCACGAGCGTCCACCGCGCCAGTCTCGCTCGCGGGCGGTTTCCGCATGTCACAAGCGTCCACCGCGCCAGTCTCGTGCGCGGGCGGGATCCGCATGTCACGACCGTCCACCGCGCCAGTCTCGCTCGCGGGCGGTTTCCGCATGTCACGAGCGTCCACCGCGCCAGTCCCGAGAGCCTCCAAAAGTATTTAAATAATTTAACAATATCTAATTAAGCTAATAATGCTTAAAGTGAATGCTTAATTAAGTGTTTTTCCCTTAATTAAACATTGTTTTTGTTTTTTGAAGCAAAAATGCGTTAGGAAGCATTGTTTCGTGCTTAATTAAGCATTGTAGTTTTTATTTAAGCATTGTTCGCTTAATTAAGCATTTTTGTTTTTGTAAAAAACAATGCTTAAATAGAGAGCTTGATTCTCTAGGGTTCATGGATATCACAGACATGTCTCGAATTTTGCTATATTTTCTTTGAACGCTGATCTTTGTTTTGATGAACGTCAAAGGTTTTTTTACTTGTGGACGAATGGACGTGTTGCTTTTTTTTGGCGCGGGTACATTTGTTGTTGTTTCTTTTTTTCAAGCGTGTTTTTTGAGTATGTGCAGTGGCGTGCATGTGCCTGCGTAAAGGCAGCAGACGCAGTTGTGGACCGAGCCCTTGCATGGCTGCAAACATGCCGCCTCCTCGAGCCAGAAACACGGCTAGTGCTAAAGACTTGGTGAAGTGCTTCAGATCTCACTTCAAAGACCTGGACCCGGCCGCTTTCAGAAAGGATGTGGAGGATGTTATAGCACAGTATGAGGGCTTGCTGGCAGACATCATGGATGAGACAGTTCGGCCTTCAGAGTCTGTGCTGAGGGACGGCTTGGTCAGATCTTATGACGTCAGTGGCAAGGATGCTCGCGCAGTGGCAAGGGACATATCTGCTTGCTTCAAGCATTTGAGGAGCAAGCTGCAGTCCAGCAGTTCCGGGAAGAAGCTCACGCCCAGTGTGTGGAGGCTTGTGTCAAAGCTCAAGCAGCTTACAGGGCAAGGCACTCCACAGAAAGCCATGGAGCCCATGAAAGAACGCGAGCCCGTCGAAACACCTGGTGCAGCACAGGCTCTTCCTGCAGGTGACGCCGCAGCCTTCAAGCCAAGCAGAAGATACCGATTCAAAAGGAAGGCTACAGCTTCGTGCGATGTTTTCAGCATGTATGGTCTTCCAGCCACTGCCATTAATGCATCAGTTGACGATGAGGCAGCTGCAGAGGCCTCTGACGTGGGAGAGGCAGACCAGGTGGACTCAGATTCAGATGTTTTGGTTGTGAAACACTCGGAGGAAGAGGATCTCCAGGCAGCTCCTGCAATCCCTTTGGCAAAAGCGTACTTTGATCCGAGCCAGGGCTGCTATGTCAAAGTCTTGGAAGGAGGCAAGTGCATTCATGGCGAGTTGAAGGAAGGAGCGGCTGGGTTTTGCCTGGTTTACTTCCCAGACGAAGAGCCATTTGAGAGCCAAGTCCCGAATCTATGGCTGTCGAGTCGCAAAAGCACGCCGGCTTTCAAGTTCTCCAAGCGCGGCAAGGCCGCCCTCGGAAAGGCCAAGAAAAAGGCGAAGCGAGCCTCAGAGCCTGCTGGAAAGGAGGCAGAGGCGGCTGTGGGATCCAGCGAGTCCGGCGAGAGCAACCAGGAGTTGCTAGCAGCCGCGCCTCTGGAGTTGGAGTCTTGGAATGGCTACCCTCTAGCTGGCATGCCGCAGGAGGCGTTGCGCACTCCTACACCGTCAAGGCTGTGATTAAGGGCACTAGTGTGAGTGTAGATGTTCTCATGAGAGGCAGAGCCTTGTACATAAAAAACCAGAAATCTGCAAGGGGCAGCACCGCTGGTCGAAGCACAGCAGCATCACGGACTGCTGGGTTCAGTGCCTTGAAAAAATCAAGGACACACTAAGGGACGAGAAGGACGCTGTACCAAATTTGGAGTGAACATATTGCATTTGAACAAACAGACTGGATCGCAACAAAAAGGCCTGCCCGCGCAGACCATGCCGTTTGATTTTGGATTTGCATGACGTTTTGAGCAGCACGAATTGTTTGCAAGATTTTTTTGGGGGTTGTTGGGTTGCATGACCTTGTGTGTTTGTGCATTGCATGAGCGTTTGGACCGCAGCCATTTTTTAAGGACTTTGCTGTTGTTGATGTCACTTGTGCCTTGTGCATGGTGTAGGTACCTCCTTGGCAGGAGGGTATAGCTTGATCTCTTTTGTGCAGGCCGCGTCGAAGGTTGCCAGACCTTCTTGCGCGTGGCCAGGACTTGATCCTTCAGGAAGTTTCTTTGTGAAGGCCATCCTCCTTGGCAGGAGGAAATGTTCAAGTGCAGTTGCCGCAAGCATGCATGCTCTGACTTAGTCTGCAGGTGATGATGCCAGCGTCTGCCGGCCCAAAGTCTCCTTGGAGGAGACAGGGTTGCGCGCGAGCTCTTTGTTCATTGCTTTG